TGGGTTGTCTTTTTGTTAGTGATTTGTAAGAGTCCTTTATATATTCTAGATTCTCTCCCTTTATCAGACATGTGTTTTGACAGCTTCTTTTTAAAGAGTTAAAAATTAAAAGGATCTAAATCATACCACTTTTCTGCCGCACCACTATTCCCTATACATATTCTTTGAAGAAGGGAATAGGAAAGACTTAAACTTTCAATTTACAAATATCTTAGGGTTACTGGGCAGAGAGTAAAGCAGTACTTGGTATCTGCTAGAAACATATCCAACTATCACAGGGCTTTAAGTAAAGCCACAGATAGAAAAATGACTGTCCTATAAACAGCTTTTGGCTCCCAGGCTCTGTACCTCCCAAAGCCCTGTTCTGGTCCACCAGGCTTCTGGAATGGTCAACAGTCGTCACACTCCATTGGTGGCTATTGTCCACTGCGAAAGGTAGGAGGCTCCCAATCTATCCCTCAGTGAAAGAGCAAATAGTTGGGCCTGTGGCTGCTTGGACATCAAAGTTGGGCAAACAGGCCTGGCAGACCCTGCCTCTCCTCCTACATATCCCATAAATGGCATCTGAAGGAGCTTCCCCAAGGGAGTCATGACTTTCAGCTTGTCATAGCACACATCAAAGTTTGCACCACACACGAACTGGGTTGCATGGGTTCGAATCAAGTCACCCGAGAGAGGATACTCAGCCATTGTGTCCGGTTTTAATCCTGTGTTTTCCCAAGTAATTAAGCCTTCTTGCTTATGAACTTGTGACTAAGTAAAGCATCACTGAGAAGTTGTAACATCAAAGTGCCTTCCACCGTCTGTCCATGTTTGGTAAAATTGGATTTCTTTTCTTTCTTAAAGAAAGACTAATTGAATTTAGCTGAAGGCTGGGTATATTTGCACTAGCCAGTGAAGGTTATGCTAAGTCACAGTACCATCCTGAAACCCTGTGGCTTAGCCTTTAGCTAGGGTGGGTCAGAGTGCAACACGGAATGGGGCACCCAGGCTCAGGCTAAACAAGTGCCTTGTGGCATAAGGCTTATCGAGGGCTCACTGTGGAGAAGGGGGACAGACCCCATTGACTGCTGCTTGAGTCAACACTACACCCAAGCTGTTACTGGGGATAGCAAAAGAACTGCCCTAATAGAATGTTGGCAAATCTTTGGCAGAACTGCTGCTGAGGACAATAGCCATCACATTACTCAAGTCCTTGATGTCAGTAGTCAAAATAAGCTTCTTTTAAGGCAAAGGCTGTGACTGCTTATTCTCTGAATCCCTCCATAGCCCACCACATCAGTATCTGACATGATTCTTTTAAAAAATGTTTATGGGATCCATAAAGTTAATATAAAGGATCCCAGAATAAAGTCCTTCTCTCCTAAAAAACAACAACCAAAAAACCCCCTCTATGTCCCCCTTTTGCCTGGTGTGTCAGGAAAATTCTATCTAAATTAATATTTAATTTCACTAATTACTTCATTTACAGTGAGTAAAGTTAGCACAGTCTCATGTATGTCAAATTATAACACAAGTATATACACCACGATAAATGTCTAGATAGAGGGAATTCAGGTGGTTGCCACTTTCCTCTCTACATTATTTTTACAAAAACAATAACCTATTTTCAGAAAAGAAAACCTTTGGTTCAATCTTGATACAATTATCTCTCCTTTTACCAATAAGATTTCTGATCTTGATTCAGTTTTAACTCTCCTGTGTGTATTTATATTTGTATTTAAGTCACTTCAAACCCTCTTTAGAAATAAAAGGGAATAAATTATAAATTAAGTTTCTATGCATATTCTAGAAATTTACTATGACAACACTATATTTATATTTCCTACTCAAAACTAAATTAAATAATAAATATGTAGATAAATGAAAGTTTGTAAGACATAAACTCCTTAAAGATGGAGACTACAGTATTCTATATTCCTAAGGACTTAATACATTAAGTAGGCACTTGAGGGTGAAAGGACTGGGATATTCTCAGGATCTCTCTTTGAGCACCTGGGCTGCCAACATTCCAAAGAAGGTAGAAGTTTTCTACTTTCAGCCTCTAGTCAAGGGGTGCTGCTCTTTCCCTCCATCCAAATCCAATTCAAAGGAGGTGGCATTTCAATTCTGACCAATATGATTCCAGAAGGATCTGGTGACTGATCTTATGAGAATTAGCACACTTCTAATAAGGAGAAACTTGACTGGTAGGTTGTATTGGTATGGACATAATAATCTCTCAAGACTACTCACAAGGCACTTTATCAATCAAAGCCTACTCACCCTGACCAATGTATTGGTACTTCCTTTTTTACAGGTTCTATTTTTCCTTTTTTTCCATGGCACTTATCTTCTTATGTATTATACGGTTTACTTATGAATTATTGTTTATTGTCTGCCTATGCCCCTCTCTGCCTGGGTTCTACCAAGAAATGACCTCTATTTGGGCAGGGATCTTTGCCTGTTTACCAATGATGTTATTTCAAGTACCTAGAACAGTACCTGGCAAACAGTAGGGGCCCAAAAGAATTTTGTGATGTGAATAAATAAATCTAAGAGTGCTATTTTCTTTTCTTCTTCTTCTTTTTTTTTTTTTTTTTGGTACCGGGGATCAAACTTGGGACCTTGTGCTTGTGCAGAAGGCGCCAGAACCACTGAGCTAAATCCCCGTCCCTAAGAGTGCTATTTTCTATAAAACTTTGTCTTCCGTGGAGACTGGAAGAGGAGGGTACAAAGTTAAAGAAACTAGTAATCAGTCCTAGAAACCAAAGCAACTAAATACAAGCCAACATTCTCACTTTATTCAACAAGCATTGCTGATTTGCTAATGACCCTAGATAAAGACAGAGCAATCAGTTAAACCAACAACTCATTAGATTCAGAGAGAAGTGTCCCTAAAAGCATATCTACTAGCTATCTGATTACTACCTGACAGTACTCTTAAGTATTGTGTTATTTCCTATTCAGTCTCAACTCGGAAAATATACCCAGCCAGGAACATACCCCTTCCTTCAGCACTGGCTGTTCCTGTCTGCAAGCCGGGAATGAAGAAGGTTGGGTGGGGTACAGTAGTGGAGGGTCAGTAGTGGAGAATAAATACATATGTGTAGGGGTCTAACATGGGCACAGGGAAATAACAACTCATTATAACCTGTAGCACATACAGTATTTTATCGGTGCCTGAAGAGATAGTGAGCATCTAGTCTGCTAACAGATGGAGTCTCCTCACCTCCTCTGCTTCAATAACACCCTGTGCAGTCTGCACTGACATCACTATTGACACCATATATTATGGGTTTGTTTGTTTTTTGGTACTGGGGATGGAACTTGGGACCTTGTGCTTGCGAGGCAGGCAGTGGAACCACTGAGCTAAATCCCTGGCCCCGACACCATGCATTGTTTCTTTACTGGCATTGCTTTTCCAGGTCAGGATGTGAGCTCCACCAAGGTCCCTGATCATCCAAAGACTAATGTAAGGCCTAGCTCAGAACAGGTATTTACTAAATGTAGAAACAGGTAATTTCTCATGGAGAAACAGATGTTCATGGAATTCTGAAATTCAACTAAAGGTCAGAACTAAGATTGGATTCCAGGTCTCCCAACTGCAAAGCTGATTTATATTTTTATATCAATATCACCCCACCCCATGGTAGTGCTAAGGATTGAACCCAGGGCCTTGAGTGTGCTAGAAAAGCAAGCACTTTATCTGAGGTATACCCCTAGTATAATATCAGTTATCTTTTAAAGAGTAAGTGCTTGGAGTGTAAGACAATAAATAAAACTGAGAATAAATTCACAAGGAGCAAAAGAGAAACCCAACTCAAGGAAAGCTAAGTCTCTCTCTCAGTCAATCAGAGGCAGATCACCCTTGTATTCAAAAGTCCCAGTTTTTTTGGTCTTCCTCCCTATTTAGGACCCTTCCAAATGTGGAGATTCCTGGAAGAAAAAAGCCTTAATGACCCGCTTGAATGGAGAATTAAAATGGGTCCCTCTGACCATCAGTTTCATTGGCAGCTACTGAAGTGCCCAGTCTGCTTTCTTTAAAAGCATTCTTTTTGCCAGGCACGGTAGTGCATGCTGTAATCCCAGCACTTGGGAGTCTGAGGCAGGAGAGTTGGAGACCAGCCTGGGCTACAATAGTGAGGTCAAGGCCAGCCTGAACTACAAAGCAAACAAAACAAACACCTCACCCCAAAGCACCCCTTTTCACACTTAATTTTTTTGCACAGTCACAGCTAGAGTAAAAGTACACTTCCCCACCAAAATTACAGAAACTTTGAGGAAGAAATCAGAATAGACTGGGATGGAAAAGCAGCATCCAGTACTAGCCTAGACATGGCATCAGGAGGCAGTAATGAAATATAGTACAAAACACCCACTTTGTAGGCAGCCAGGCCAGGCTCTAATCGATGTGACTTTAGAGAAATCACTTTATCTGTTTGGGTTTCAGCTTTATCAGCTGCAAAATGAGCATAACAATACATATATTGTGGGGTAGTTTTGACAATTAGAGATAATTTTGAACACAAAGAATACTACTTTGGATCTTTATACAGTATCTACAACCTTGATGGAATGGGGAAATGAGTGGGAAAATAGTACAGCTTCCAATAGAAGGGAAGGAAGACTCCTACCTTTCCTAGTTTCCAAGAGAACCTCCAAAGAAAAAGCCCCTAGTGGTCCCCTTGTTGGAGACAGTGACTACAGATTTCTCAACATGGACAGATGGTGAGGAACAAGAACATGATGACCACTTGCACTTGTACACTAACCATTTACAACAGACTTTCAAACATCTGGTTGCAATATTTGGCCCAAGGTCACAGAGTCAGTGATTAATGGAGCTGGTTGCCAAAGCCAGACCTTTCCCCTCCACAGTCTCATGCCCCAGGTGTAGTCTAGTACCTTAAACTGACTCCATCTCCCTGCCTCTGGAGAACAATCAGGGAGCAGAGCATTCAGGAACCTGATCTGCAGAGATATGACTAAGGGAGTCTTGTGTGGAAGGAGATTCTCACCTGTCATTTCGGTTGATGGCTGCCACCATGAGTGCCGTCCAGCCAAGTTTGTGTCTTGCATTGATATCTGCACCTTCTGACAACAGCCTAAAAAAAGACAGGAGTATGTTCAGTGTACAGCTTATCATAGACACAAGTGGAAATAATACAGCCAATAAGCAGGTAGGCCAGGTAAGTCTTAAGATAGAGGCCTTTAGGAGCTAAACCCCCAACCCCAGCACCCCTCATCCACCCAAAGCTTCTACTTCTCCCTTTTCCTTCTATGAGTCGGCCCTCTGTTTTTCTCCGAGTGTTCTGAGAAAAGAATGTGCCTTCCCAACCTTAATACCCTGACACTATGTCCCTGGTCCAGAATGCTCCCTCCCTGCCTCTTTGACTGTTCAAATCCTGTTCTCATGTCATGTGACACAAACCTGGCTTGTGGATTCTCTCCTGAGAAGCCTTGACTCATCCAGCACCCAGCTCTCCTTCCCTCCTTTAATTTCACACTGCTTGGCAGAGAACACCTAATGATATATCTTACCTAGGAAGTCCCCAGTTTACAAATGGATCCCATTCCTCAAGTTTATCTGTATAGTGGCTAACTGGACAATGGAAATCTTTTAACCCAAGGAAAGATGGAAAGAATGTTAGAGATGCTAGATTATATTCCTAGGAGAATCCACATGGACTCTATTTGAGTTTAGGCCAATGCACAAAGTAATACAGTAATTGTTGAGCAAATGAACGAACACAGGTTTTACAAAGCATACCATTAAGATCTTAATTCTGAGTCCCAGAAACAGAAGGCCCTAAAATGTAGGAAGGGAAAGAAATAGAATCAGCCCTTACTGAGCACCTTTTATAGGAAAGAAATTGCCCTGGGTACTTTACATTTATGAGTTCATTTACTCTTCACACAAGTTTAAGGAGCAGGTAGCAAGTTCCTTTATTCACGGGTGAGGAAACAGGCCCTAGGAGGAGAAATGACTTGGTTAAGGATGCACAGCTAGTTTAGGGGCAGTTTAGTTACCAGCACTCAGGTTGGTAATGATTCTATAGCTGGAGTCCTCACCTTACCCACAGACCTTGGGTCCACACAGCTTCATGAAAGGCAAAGTAAAATTGATCTCAACAAACCCACAGCATGTGCTTGGCCTTGTGCTGGATTCTAGATACAAGTGAGAAGACATGGGGTCTGTTCTAGGGGAGCGTATAATCTCATAAAGGATGACTCGGAACAGGAGGAAATCAAAGAGTGGAGTGACAGGCAAGGGGGGACTGAAAGTTGAGAGTGATGTGCCTCCGAGGCATCATTCTAATGAAGAAAAAGCAGGCAGTGGTAGCTTGGGGAACCAGGAGGCTGTCCACACAGCAGCAGGTTCTAGCCAAATGGGCACTGTGTGGACGGTCCAAAGGCTAAAAAGTTTAAGCCTCAGCACCATTCTTGCGCCATAATCTGTAGTAAATGCTCCTTTGGACAAAGCCAAATAAAATGTCTGTGCTGCTAAAGTAAAGCAAGTTACCACAGCCTGGGAGGATGTTGAGAAACATCATGTACTTGTGTACACATCTGGCCCTGAGGGCCAAGTACTCTTGATTCTGCTGATGCAGTGACTGAGACCTGTGTTGTCACAGCCTGAGGGGACACAGACACCAAGCCCAGAACCACACATCCCACGAGTGCTGTGAGGGAGAAAGTTTGTAGCTGTGCAGCCCAGAAAGCCAACCCAGTCTCAAAGACCAGGAAGGCCTCTCTGAGGTGATGATAAAGGGGAGTCAGCCACACAAAAGGGAGTGAGGGAAGGGAAAGAATGCTCCCAGGAAAGGTGAAGTCTCTTCACCCACAAACAAAGGGCTGGCGAATTAGAGCTCTGAAAGAGGTGTGGTGGGACTGGGGCCCAAACTGTGAGGAGAGTGTTGGGAGAGGAAGGTAGGAAATGCTTATGCTCACTTCCCACCTCTGGTTTGGAGGATTTCCTCTGCTTAAAGTCCATGGCCTTGCGCTACATATTCTATTAAATGACCCCCCGCCCAGGAAACAATTTCCTATGGCCATGGATGTTGGCTTAAGAATACTGGGGGTAGGGCCGGGGATTTAGCTCAGTGGTTCGGCTGCCTGCCTCGAAAGTGCAAGGTCCGGAGTTTGATCCCTGGTACCAAAAAAAAAGAATACTGGGGATGAATCTTCTGAGACAAAAATCTCAGCACAAAATCTCCTTGTCAAGTCAGCAAGTGTGTGGTAGTGTGGAAGGCTGTGACTCTGACGCTTAACAGTCTGGATGGATTCTGACGTTAAGTGCAATTCTGAAAGGAGACCTCATTTCTCTGGTCCCCAGTCCAGAAAGGCTAGAAAATTAGGACAGGCGAAGAAAATCAAGAGGTTTCTGAGGGGAAAGACTTGAACTATGCCTAGAAGAATGAGAAGAGTTTATGGAAGCAGGAGGAAGGGTACAGCACTTAGGACAACAGGAACTGGGTATGATGGCAAAGCAGGGAAGAAACATTTAGTGACATCAGGCAGATCCAGGTGGGTGACCATGCAGAGGAGAAGCAGCAACTGGATATACACATTCAAATACTTTATTTTGCATATAATGTCCAGGGGTTCACAGACCCCATAGAACCAATAATGATTAAAAACTCAGTCTAAAGTGCTGACAAACATCTGGCAAATATGCACCTGTCCAGCACTCTTATATCTAAAACAGATACCACAAATCTATCCCAGAAGCTCTTTCTTGTGGAGCTGTTGAAAAAGCCACAGAATCCTCCTCAAAAGAGGTACCAATTAGACACCATTGCTGGAATGAAGTTAGCAACAGAGAAGAAACCTATTTGCCATTCCTTAGCCTTTTACCAAAGACAGAGGGGCTATTATTCAAGGTATCTAGGCAAAAGAAATATAAACTTAACCTAATAACTCATGCAGGCTGAATTTGAAATGGGGTAAGAAAACAGGGACAAGGAGACCAGTACAATTTACCACATATTCCCTTGCTGCTTTCCTAGGTATGCAGAGAGGAAAAAGCCACCATCTCCTGGCCACCAAAACCAACTGCATGCCCCTTCTGGACCTGCGTGAGCATTTCTCTGTGGTATGTACTGGGAGTAGGATCCCTGGGTGGTGAGGTATGTGTGTTCTTGATGTGACAGTGCCAGTGTCCTCTTCAGAATAGCTGCTCCATTGACTCTCCCAACAGCAGGACAGGGATGTTCCTGTGCAAACCCCCTCCTTGCCATCACTTGGCGGTGGCCAGTTTCCTAATCAGTATCTAAGGGGTCTAGGGGTAACACATTATTGTTTTAATTTGTGATGACCATCAATAATTTTGAGCTACTTGTTGCATTCACGTTTGCATTTGTAGGCTTTCTTTTTTGTACTTTGTTGCATTGTTTTCAGAGAAGGGACTGATGGCAGAGGCAGCTTTTCCAAACTTGCTACATTTCCACAAAAGAACACAAAGCAGAGTCAGGAGCCCTGGGTTCTATTTTCAACTCTGTCACCTACTATTCTGACAGCCTAAGAAGGTTCATCATCTCATTAAGCTTCAGTTTCTTCATAAGTCCATTGGGGAAGACAATCCCTGTCGGTGCCACACAGTTTTCAGAAGCAGCACTGAACAATGTGGAAAGGGCTATGTAGATCTGTGGGGTCATTCACAGGAGAACCTTGGTGCTCTTCAGTGAGACTCCAGCTTTCAAGCCCTGCTCAGCTTGCTCTGACTGAGCATCATTCTTTTCTGCCTTTTGGAGTTGAGATGTGATGGGAAAAAGCAATGACTGGGGTACAAGGGCCAGAGTTCGGATTCCAGCTCTGTCATTTGCTAGCTGCGAAATAGGGGATGTGAACTCCTCTTGGGCAAAGGGGTTGTCAGGACTGAGACACACACCAAAAGGCAGAATTCTGTAAGGAGTGGTGCACCTGGTAAACTGACAAGAACCAGGGCCAACTTCACCACCCCTATAGCAAACACAAACAACTTTTCCTCTTCAAGAACTGGGCAGGACCTTCCCCTGCTTCTCCTCATTGTAGAGAAGCCACAAAAGTTAGGATTTCACAAGCCAGGTCTCTCCATTTGATTTTGTTGCTTTGCAAGTGAATGCCCAGCAGGCAGTCATTTCAAAGCCCTGGGCCAGCTAGGGGCGGGGTGGGGGCAGCTGCCTGCTGAGACCAGTTGAAAGGGCCTCTGAGGCCTCAGAAAGCCACCCTTGCTCTCCCCTGTGATTTTCACCAATGGACAAAATGCGGCAAGTGAATTAATCTCTTTTAAAAAGAGCAATGCTTGTGACAGAGCACGGTGTCTCCGAAAAGGTTAGGATTCCATCATCCCTGAGATGATGAGTAGAATGTTTAATGCAGGCTGCCATTCAGGGCAGAGCAGCCTATGCTGAGGCTGGGAAGTGGGGGTGGGCACGGCAGGCTTTTCTGTGCTCACTCCAAACTTGGGGAAGGCCCTTGGCTAATGAACAAGATCTGCTGCTTGGCAGGGCAGAAGTGGGTGAGACCGAGGACTGCTCAGGGTAGCACAGAGGAGACCACATCAGATGTCCAGAGTTGAATGCCAGCTCTTGCACAGCTCTCAGGCAGCAGCATGGGGACCACATGTAAGGTTTTGCCACTTACTGGAGGAAAAGCTATGGATGAGGGATTCAGCCTCTCTGAAGTATGTACACTCTGTTCCCTCACCTAAGTGACAGCTTCTGCTCTCTAAATCCCCAAGCAAGGACAGTGGTAGAACAAAGAAGGATCTACTAGCCCAAGGGCTGAAGATTCTACTGGACAGGAATAAGCCAGGGTGGGGCAAAAAAAGGTGCCTGTTCCCAGCTATCATCAGGGTTCCTGGTCAACCAAGCAGGCCAGGGACCAAGAGGTAAGTTATTAGCTCTGATAGAAAAGGAAGGGAGATGAGTCACACTTTCACTTTCTGCTGAGTGGGTGTGTATTACCTACAGTTCTGTTGGTCTTTGTAACGATGACTACACTATTAATCCTTTTTTAAAAAATAAAACTTTTTTAGAAAAAGAAAGATCCTACACCTTCTTCCTGTAAGAAGTCTTCCCTAAGATGGCTTTGTTGCGGCCACAATCCCTTCGGTGAAGCGGTA